CAAGATTCACGCAAATTCCGGACTCCTCTTCAACCCAAGAACAATTATTTTGAAGAGCGACTTAGATCCAGAGCACCGAAATAAGTTTTTTTTTTTTTTTCCGAAGACACACCGAAAAACCAATTTCTTAGAGAGCAAACAACTTGAAGCGTTAAAACTCGCCTAACGGAAAACAACGTGTCACAATCCATAGAACGGCTCGGGAGATAGATGCAGTCCTATGTATCGAACAACTAGACATAAAGTTTGTAACCTTTTTCTTTGATACTTTGAACTTTTTGAGTTTTCATTTTATTTTCTTTTATGCATATTTGTGTGGTATCACCCCCGTTGAACTCGGTTTGCATTACGGCCCCAACCACTGATTGATCTCGTCTGCCTAAGATCAATTCACAACGTGGGTAGGCAGACTGGAGATCTATGCAGTTACCTTGGTAACCAGGCGTTGGAAGCGAGTTGGGAACGACGAGGCTGATATCAAATCTAACCAGATTCCCAAATTCGAATCACCAAAAGGTTAGAACGTCACATTTGGGTGCCGCGACCGATACCAAGCCAGTTGGTCGTCACAGGACGAGACAACACGACTGACGCGACATGCGGACGTCACGTTTGGAGCAGCGAGGAGCGAACCGCTGGCGCCGCGGCGAGGACGTCACAATTGGTGCTGTTTAGGGACGTCACAGTTGGTGCCGTGGTAGACCAGGATAGAACGTCACAGTTGGCGCTGCTACCAGGGGACGACGTCACAATGTTACTTTTGCACATTTATCTAATCCGAAGTTCATACCTATGTCGTCACTGAAGTATTTTACAATATTGAGGAGGCCTTTCAACTCATTGTCGTCTTTGGCAAAGAGTTTGAGATCATCTATGTAGAGTAGGTGATTGAATATTTTCTTATTTATTTTTGTAACCATAGCTACTGTTGTTCAGTTCATGTGTAAGAGGGATTAAGGATAAACAAAACAGAAGGGTGACAGAGAATCTCCTTAAAAGATTCCACGTCGGATATTCAGACGGTTGGATATGGCAGTGCCCCCCCAGTGACTAAGGTATAGTTTGGTGTTCCACATTCCCATGCTGTGCTTAAGGAAATTTAATACCACAGGGGAGACTTTGTACATTTCCAAAGTCTTAAGGATCCAAGAATGTGGAACACTATCAAAGGCTTTACGATAATCAATCCACGCTGCACTTAGATTCCTGCGTCGTCTCCTGCAATTTTCCAGGATCATTTTATTTATCAGAAGTTGATCTTTGCAGCCATATGAACCTCTTCTGCATCCCTTCTGTTCCAGTGGGAGAATGCTGTTTGTTTCGAAAAGGGAATAAGTACGGTTCGTCAGTACAGACGTGATCAACTTATACGTTGTGGAGAGACATGTTATCGGTCTATAATTTTTCGGGTCATCTGTTTCAATTGTTTTTGGTATGAGGTGTGTAATACCTTCAGTAATCCATTCCGGGATTTTATTGGGATTATTTACAAGCGTTGATAATGTTTTTGCAAGAATTTCATGGGTAGATGAGAGATGATACAGCCAGAAATTGGGCAACTTGTCATTTCCTGGGGATTTCCATTTTTGGGATTTCGTTAGAGCTTGCCTAACATCATCTGTGGATATATTTCCCATTCTTGCAGAGGTGTATTCAGCAGTCGTTCTTCTTCATGCCGTATCCATTCTGCATTTGGGTTATATTCCTTTGGGCTGCTCCAAATATTTTCCCAAAATATCTGTACATTATCAATCGATGGTGGCCTTTCGACATGTATAGGTGTTTTTCCAATTTCCCTGTAAAATTTCTTAAGATCTGTTCGGAATATTTTATTTTGGCGATAGAACCTACAACGTTTTTCGTATCGTCTTGTTCTCTGCGCCTTAAGCTGAAGTTTCTGCTTCAGCATTTCCTTGATTGATGGAATATCAATTAGGGATTTAATGCTATATTTCCGCTTGATCTTTTTGGATTTACGTGTGGAAATATTAGGGCTTCTGGTGAGCTCATCTAATATAGAAAGCTCACATCTGATTTGTTTTATTTCTCGAATCAGTTTGGTTTTCCAAGCTGGTTCTCTGTGTCTGTTAATTTTATTTATTGTCTTGACCCCAAGCTTCCGAGTCGCTGCTAAAGCTGTTGCGTATATGACGTTGTTAACTTCTGTGATTTTTCCCGGTGGTTTATCTGTTAACAGTGTTTCCAGAGCAGCATTGTATATTTTCACGATGTGCTTGTTGGAATTCGTCATATGGATTTTCGGGAGCTGGTCTCTGACAATTGTATGAAAGTTACACTGCTGAGTTCTTGGGTGACGTCATTTTTCGCTTCGGTGATTTCAGCTTCGTGGTTTTCAAGGAATTCTAACTTATTGTCACTGAAGATGACTCCAGGCACATTTTCTGGGGGAATGCAGGTTGTGTTTAAAGTAGAGTCTTGGGTTTCATTTCCTGGGAGATTATTTCGTATTTCATTCGCTTTAGCGTCCACCTCATCCTCTGTTGCATTCCTTATTTCTACATTCGTCCCAATAGAGTTTGAGTTATGGGTCATAGTATTTTGTCTTATATCTAATTTTATCTTATCTATTTCTGCCTTTGAGAGTCTGTTGTTTCGCATGATGTCCCTACGGACATTGGCAAGCATGTTTGGATTGAGGTTAGGTCTTATATCATTTCCCACCGTACTTCTCCATATTTGGTATGTTTGATTGGTGGTGTTCTTTGCTGGGTTTTCGAGTGCAGTGAAGAAGGATGCCATAACTTGTCGATACTCTTCGCGGCTCCATTTCGTTTGTTTACTTTTTATTAGTCGATTTGGTATTGAGTCACTTGGTCGAAGGTTGGCAATAATCCGGGTTTGGTGACCTAGTGTCTTTTCGTGTGTGGAAGAGTTTGTTCCAGTGACAGACTTTTCGTCTTCAGACTGGTTCCTCTCTGAGGGACGCGGCCCTTGTTGTCCAGGTTGACGGCCGATCCGGTATGAAATAGTATTCGTATTCATTGAAATTAGTAGAGATGCGTTTTAACCTTGACCGCCAAGGGGTAATTATGTTCAGGTTACCAGCTTTAGGACGAGTCTTGAAGAAGATCCAAGATCACGCCCAAACAGTGAGATTGTGGATTTATTAATATAACGAAGGTAGAATAGTTCATAAGAGTGTATGGTATTCAGTGGGGGAGACGATACTAAGTTTTAACTTAGTCTAGGTCGGAGTGACGACTCCAAGGGGGAGAATAAGATTTTAGTATATAGACTTAAAAAAAAAGGAAAGAGAAAAGGGAACTGAAAAGGAAAGAATTAACTTGAGTCAAAAGAATTTACAATCATAGCAAACTGCAGAAAAAGTATCATTCAAAAATGGCATATTTACCATTTCTTACAAGTTCGGAGCATGGCAAAAGTGGCTTTCCACAAATGTTCAATTCTTCGTCGCCAACGACAGATACTTATCAAATTTTATGGGGTAGGCTGGACTTATACTACAGATTGGTAGTGGGGGGATATCAAAGAATTCATTCAACAAAGGGGTAGAAGCAAGGGAATAAAAGTTATACTTTTCCGGTCATCTCTCAACCTACTAGCCGCTAAAAGATATATTTTTAAATTTTCACTCAAAGACATGATAGTCAAAGGGCAGAGCATTGTAGGAAAATTACACCTGTAGCCATGAAAAAAAAAAAGAAAATAAAAGAAAAGAAAATAAAAAAATAGAAAAATCATTATTATTAATATTATCATTATTATTATTAATATTATTATAATTATTATTATTATTATTATCATTATCATAATTATCATTATTATTATTATAATTATTATTATCATTATCATTATTATCCTTATTATTATAATTATTATTATTATTATCATTATTATTATTATATCCTTTGATTTCGCTTGTATAGTCATTTTCTTCCGGGTCCCAAGCAGAGATCTAAGATCAGAAATGGCATCATGACATTTTCCAATTTTTTTGTATTTCTTTAAGGCATGGTCACCTCGGGATCCTTTCAATGAGTCTATTGCAACCTTTTCCAATCAATCCGATGGCGCCAACTAAAACAGGAATTATTGATGGCTTCATGTGCCACATTTTTTTTTTTTTTTTTTTTTTAGATTTCCACTTCAAGATGCTTGTATTTTGATAGTTTTTGGAAGATCTTCAAAGATTCATTACAATCTGCAGGAATTGCTATGTCAATAAGAAAACACGTTCAGTTTTTACGCTCTTTGATCACTACTGCTATTATTATTATTATTATTAATATTATTATTATTATAATATTTTATACGTATATTACTTATTTTATATATATTTCAAGATAACATCTAATGCACTGAAATATATTTTATTTAATATAGGCTATTTCTCCTCTATAATAATGATTTGTAAATTTGAGGTTTTCCTTTATATATAGAAATATATATATATGCGTGTGTTTTTGTTTGGGTGGCCAGATAACGTAAATTGATAATTGGCATTTTGAAAAGGAGGCACCGTGAATGAATGAGTAATCTCCCTTTTTCACTTCCGCCATTCCTTTTGTTCTTGTCCGCATGCGCTAATTTAAGACGCTATCTTCATTCGCATGCCAATAACAGAAGTACGCCTCCTTTCTGTCGAGGCCGGTACTGGGCCAATCAAGGCTCGGCTTGACAAGGAACAGCTTACGGCAATCTGACTTCGATTTTGCATCTAACCAAACAATGTAGCCTCGTTAGGTGGTGCATTGGGAACGCTGCCGGTTAGGCTGCTCCATTCCTACTGCATTTAACTCAGCGTCTCTTTTTGCCTCGGTTCTAGCTGACACTTCCCATACTCTCTACATCTTTTCACTGGCTAGCAGATACGCACATTCAAATAGACATAGACTTTACTGAATACCTACTGATACCATTATATATATATATATATATATATATATATATATATATATATATTTCCCGAGATAAATAGATAGATATGAACAGAGAGATAGATTGATATAAAAGCTTACATAGATAGATAGATATGAACAGAATGATAGATAGATAGATAGATATAAAAGCTGAGATAGATAGATATGAACAGAAGGATAGATAGATAGATAGATAGATAGATATAAAAGCTGAGATAGATAGATATGAACAGAAGGATAGATAGATAGATAGATATAAAAGCTGAGATAGATAGATAGATAGATAGATATGAACGGAAGGATAGATAGATATATAGATATAAAAGCTGAGATAGATAGATAGATAGATAGATATGAACAGAAGGATAGATAGATATATAGATATAAAAGCTGAGATAGATAGATAGATAGATAGATATGAACAGAAGGATAGATATATAGATATAAAAGCTGAGATAGATAGATAAACAGATAGATAGATAGATATATAGATATAAAAGCTGAGATAGATAGATAGATAGATAGATATGAACAGAAGGATAGATAGATATATAGATATAAAAGCTGAGATAGATAGATAGATAGATATGAACAGAAGGATAGATAGATATATAGATATAAAAGCTGAGATAGATAGATAGATAGATATGAACAGAAGGATAGATAGATAGGATAGATATAAAAGCTGAGATAGATAGATAGATATGAACAGAAGGATAGATAGATATATAGATATAAAAGCTGAGATAGATAGATATGAACAGCAGGATAGATAGATATATAGATAAAAAACTGAGATAGATAGATAGATAGATATGAGCAGAAGGATAGATAGATATATAGATATAAAAGCTGAGATAGATAGATAGATAGATAGATAGATATGAACAGAAGGATAGATAGATATATAGATATAAAAGATGAGATAGATAGATATGAACAGAGGGATAGATAGATGTACACTAACTTTAGCTTAGCGAAGAAAGTTATAAAAAGGTATTCCATTTTTGGTGGAAGCGTGCTGATTACTGATGAGGCTAATACGGTCCGTACAGTTACCTCCACAACAGCCGCAGGAAACGTTCCGATCACCGACCAAATGGCTAACATGCCACTGTCTACCCATCATCGACACAGAATGTTTTCGCGTAAAAATTGTTAGCACTCTTTGAATGAGAACTTTCTGACCACTGACAACACAAGTCGATGGTGTCACCTTCCGAAAAATTTGCCGTTAGGTGGCGCGTTGGGAAGCGTACCGGTTGCTCTGCCCCATTCCCCAGTACATTTAACTCAATGTCTCTTTCTTTGCTTAAGTCCTATCTTACATTTCCCATAGTTTCTACATCCTCTCCCTTGCTGGGATATACACACCTTCATACAGACGTAGATTTTACTGTATACGTTCACTTATATATAACTAGACTAGACAACCGTTGTTCTCACTGACGGTTCAGATTATACAACATTGAAGTTTATTTAAAATATCTGTTTGAAGAAAGTTGAAGAAACTCTACAAACAACTGGACGAAACAGCAAAGCGGGATCTCTTTGTGTCTGTCTTTAACTTTAAAATATTTTACTTAAAAATTGTCTCTGAAGAAAGTTAAAATAAAAATACTTATTGTATAAACAACTCGAACTTTTAAAATTTCAATTACTTAAAATATTTTCAAACCAGATTAACTTAAAAATGTTTTTTTAATATGCCAAAATATATTTTTTAATCATATTCAGTTAAAATAAGCCAAAAAATATCTAAAAAATTTTTAAAGACAGCTGAAATATTCATAATAACTCTACAAACAACTGGACGAAACAGCAAAGCGGGATCTCTTTGTGTCTGTCTTTAACTTTAAAATATTTTACTTAAAAAATTGTCTCTGAAGAAAGTTAAAATAAAAATACTTACTGTATAAACAACTCGTAAATCTTTATGCGCCGGACTGACGCACCACACAAGCACGCACGCAATCACAGACCTTTAATTTTAGATAGATAGATGTTTGGATGATTTTATTTAAGGGCATATCAACACATCTATGTGTTATTTAATGCCGAAATTTAAATATTTGTGACGCAATTTTATGCCTTCGACTACATATATTTCGTACACAATATTATACTTAATGGGTAAACGTATGTTTTATAGATCTATAATTTGGAGATGATAAAATGTATTGTTGGTAATTTTATAAAAACTGCATTGCTGGTAATTTGGCAACAATAATGTCTTATTGGTAATCTTTTATAAACACGTATCGCTGGTATTTTTACTATAAAATGTTTTAAGTTATTGAGATTTGGAAAACGTTCATAAAAGTGTTTCAAAAATAATATCCGATAATGGATTTTGCCTCCAATGGCTTCATCAGATGGGTAACGAAAAGATGTGTTGTGTGTGTATGTATTTGTGTGTGTTTAACATAATTAAATCTTTTATTATTTTTCCCAAGCTGCCGTTGCTTGAGACTAAAAAAAAAGAAAAAGAAAATGGGTGACTTTTAGAATAACACAATAAATACAAATCAAGGGCCTACTCAGTCCTGTTGGATGAAACACTCCCTGATTGACCTCCACCACTTCCTATTGCTGACCATACTGAAGGTCAGATCATCACACCATCTTGCCTTTGGCCACACTCTAATTTTCTTCTACTATTTTGTTGAAGTCTTAGCTTGTCTAAATTCCTTAGATGAAGCATTGCTATTATTATTCATTTATGACTATTATTTTTCATCTTATTTATCTTGCTTCGTTTTACCTAATAGTAATAAGACATAGTAAGCTTAAGATTTCTGAATTCCTTCGATGAAGCATTGTCATTATTATCAATTTTTGATTAGTCTTTCTTTCATCTTATTCTCTTATTTCTTTACAGCTTTGAGTAAAAAGTCTTGAGTTTTCTGAATTTCCAATATGAAACCATTTCATTAATATTAGCTTTTGAATAATCTTTTTATGTCATGTATTTCCAAAGGGCATTATCGTAATTTATTTTTAAATTACATGTTCTTTCATAATGTAGGTGATCATGCCTCTTCACAGATTCCTATTCCTTTATTATCTATGAATTTACCTGCTTATTTGGGATATAAAATTGTTCTCCAGATCTGTTTTTGTCTGCATGCCTGATTCTTGATAGATAAGAAAAATAAACTTTAGGAGAGGAAAAATCCAGACAGTCCCATTTTCACCAAGGAAAATATCCTCTCTCTCTCTCTCTCTCCAGCCTATATTCCATTTCTCTCTCTCTAACTCTTTTTCAGCCTATAATCATTTGGACATTTTCTGCTTAACCACCTTTATGGCCTCAGTGTCACAATAGCACAATAAATGAAATCCAGGGCCTACTCAGTCCTGTTGGATGAAACACTCCCTGATTGACCTCCACCACTTCCTATTGCTGACCATACTGAAGGTCAGATCATCACACCATCTTGCCTTTGGCCACACTCTAATTTTCTTCTACTATTTTGTTGAAGTCTTAGCTTGTCTAAATTCCTTAGATGAAGCATTGCTATTATTATTCATTTATGACTATTATTTTTCATCTTATTTATCTTGCTTCATTATACCTAATAGTAATAAGACATAGTAAGCTTAAGATTTCTGAATTCTTTATCATTATTATTAATTTTTGATTAGTCTTTAACCATGATTTCTGCATACTAATAGTCCTATGTCGTGTGAATTTCAAAGGGGAAGCATTTTCATTAATATTAATTACTGAAAGCCATTTTCGCTGTTCTAATATAAAAAAAGCCTGTGAAAGGACGAGGCAAATGCTAATATACATACTCAGTTTTTTTTTACATATATGTATCTAATCGCAACAGATTTATAAGTGATTGACATTTGGAAAAAACATTCATGAAATTATGTTTTGAAAATAATATCCAATAATGTATTTTGCCTATATGGCTTCATCAGATGGGTAACGAAAAGATGTGTTGTGTGTGTATGTATTTGTGTGTGTTGAAAATAATTAAATCTTATATTATTTTTCCCAAGCTGGCGTTTGCCCGAGACTAAAAAAAGAGAAAGAAAATGAATGACTTTTTAAAGAATCGTTTTATAATTTATATTTTCCGCCTTAAGTGTCTGAGTTTTGAGATGGAAAATCCTTCAGAATGAGTAGAAAATAAATTAAAGAAATTGTTTTTATCCATGCCTTCCTCATGTCGACAGTATGTAATCAATATTCTTCTTTTTTTTTAAGTCACTCATTTTCTTTCTGTTTTTTTTTAATCTCGAGCAACTCCAGCATTGGAAAAATAATTTAAGATTTAATTATTTTAAACACACACAAATACATACACACACAACACCTTTTCGTTACCCATCTGATGAAGCCATTAGAGGCGAAATTCATTATCGGGTATTATTTTTCGAAACATACTTTCATGAACTTTTTTTTTTTTTTTCTAAATACCGATAACTTATAACTCTAAATGCCGATAACTTATAACTCGGGATGACATAGACGAATTTATTACACACTATAAAATGTATTTTTATACATTTCAGTTTTGTATTTCTGGTCATTTTGCTATAAAAAATATATATTGTTCGTCATTCTACCATAAATATGTATTATTGGTATTTTTTTATAAAAAAAGAAATGTATTTTTATACTTTCCTTGGTTCTTGAGTTTTGTCTGGGGCTTCAATATTTGCCTAGAGCTGTCTACCCCAGTGAGCGAAATAAAGGGTTCAGTACGACATTCCAACCACCTAAAGAAGGCCGGAGCGTACAACGGCCGAAACCTTGTGATAAATATGGCGACAAAGATGAGGACAATAGTCCGAATAATGTAAATAGCGTACATAATACATCTCAGAAATATAGACAGATACTGAAGGGCCGAAACGTTGTGATAAATATGGCGACAAAGATGAGAACAATAGTCCGAATAATGTAAATAGTGTGGAAGGAAGTTCAATTCATTTTGTTAAAAATAAGAATAACCATTTTTTTAAAGGTGGGTAACAGTTGTAGCTGTTAGGTGGGGTGAAAAAGTAACGTTCTACGTTTGTGCTTAGAAGTGGAGCAGTTTAGCTAAGGGGGCAAACAAAAAAATTACGTATTTTTTCTGTTTTTTGGGGTTTATTCCTGTTGGTGCCATCTTCTGGTACTAATTTAAAGCTCGATCTTTTGGAGGGAGGGGGGCTCTTTTTCTTTTTTTATAAATACCCGTTGCAAAATAAAACACTTGCATTTGCCTTGATAAAGTACCTCAGAGGACGAAACGCGTCGGCTAAGATAAGTTTTGCCCCTGTCATTATTCATTTTCTCCTTTTACACATATATTCTATCTCACCTATTGAACCCGCGGATGAAGAGGGCTACGCCTGACTGACATGCTACAGAAGGCGCCACTGGAAATTATAACAGAGAGAGCGGCTGTATTCTGCATGTCTCATTCCATATGTGCCGCAGAGGAAGCTCATGAAATCAAATGTGTGGGTCATTTCCTGGAAATTTTAGGTCCACCTTAAACAAATTCATGCCACCGGCAATTTCTTCTACTCTGATTTTTTTGTTCACCTCTAACCAACTCTTGAAAAGCTAAAAGGTCATCGGGAATGGATGACGGGAGAAGGGTTTTGTGAAACTGGAAGCTTCTAGTCCTGAGCCTTCACGTCAGCGTCGACTTTAGTCATCAACGCCATCATCATAAAGGAAGCGATCAGCAAAAAAGAAATTAAATTCTGACATACGAGATAAAGCTGTCGACCACTATCACAAATTTTACACACACACACACACACACATATATATATATATATATATATATATATATATATATATATATATATATATATATATTATAATATTAATTTAAAGAAAAACAGACCGCTTCAAGGCTCCATTGTAATAATTTATTTCACCAGAGACTTTTATTTTTCTCTGGATCTTCAGACATCACTTTCAAAAGGTGAAACGAAAAATGAATTCAAAATTTACACTTTTGACGGGCAGTATTAAGCTTATATAAGTTGACATAGAAGGTAGCGAGGGGCGGTGTGAGAGACATGGTCGAGTTTATATATATGTTTTGTCTGTCTCTTGTTTCGTTTAAATTCATATAGAGAGATGGAAAAAACAAATGGAGAAAATTACACACACACGCACACAAACACACACACATATATATATATGTATATATATAATTCAATTTAAAGAAAAACAGACCGCTTTAAGGCGCCATTTATTATAATTTATTTCACCAGAGACTTTTATTTTTCTTTGGATCTTCAGATTTCACATTCAAAAGGTGAAACGAAAAATGAATTGAAAATTTACACTTTTGACGGGTAGTATTAAGCATATATAAGTTGACATAGAAGGTGGCGAAGAATGGTATGAGAGATATGGTCGAGTTTACATAAGGAAGGGAGAGTTTTATTATATATATATATATATATATATATATATATATATATTATTTTATTTTATTTTACACACACACTCACACACATATATATATAAAATGTGTATAAATGAAAATATGCTGCCTAAATACACAAATATATATATATATATATATATATATATATATATATATATATATATATATATATAATACATAAAAGCTATATACATAAAACAGTTGAAACCTAACCTAAACAAAATAAACTATGAAATCTCCACAAATATCCTTAAATGTCTATAATTCATTACAGAAGCCATTGGTTTATAGCAACGGCTTCCCATACTTAATACTTCTCGAATTCACTCTCGCGTGGTCATGTGTGACGTCATGAGCTGCGGTGCGATTTTCGCTTCCAGCGTCTTATATGCACGTGTTTATCGTTGCTTGGAAATCATCCATGTAAACAGAAACATACTGTCATCACTTTCTTGTCCGTGTATTGCTTAATATATTGTACAGTAATTGTCATCTTTGATAATGGCTTATGTAAGCCAAAAGCTTAGATTGGATTAAAAAATATGTATCAATATTGTTATTTTCTCTCTTCGTTTAATGATAATGTTATTAAGCTTATCAGACGTTATGAAAAGAATTTACATAAAATAAATAGACAACACTTGTCTATATTATTTAATGAAACATTTATATATATATATATATATATATATATATATATATATATATATATATATATATAATAACGCACATTCAGTGCTGGTGTTAATTAGCTAGTGCTTGATGTAAAATAACAGAGTTATAAATTAGCAGTTTTAACATTGTGCATGAGAGTCAGAGTTGCTCTACAGGTGATATATATATATATATATATATATATATATATATATATATTCTCTCCATTTCTCTGTCTATCTTTTCGTTTAAAATCCGAAATGTCTTAATAAATCCAATCAGATCTGTCCCTGATCTTCGAAGGCAACAAATTGTCTCAATGATGTATTGTTTCAGGCATTCTATCTAGCCATGAAATTGAATAACCACACAGATCCATTATTCGAGCCAATCAAAAGAACGACACTAGATAAGCATTCAATAAAGTCTTCTTAGAAAGAAATCGGTCATGTCAAGTCGTTACGATTCGATGTCTGATCAATTATGTCTTTCGCTGGTTTCCACGCTTTTCACAGTTGAAATGAAATGCAAATAATTGGCATTTCCTTTCATAAATGTTGCCCCATCGTACTACTGCGAGGCTTTCATAGTCTTTTACGATTACGTTCTTTTTTAAAATATCTTGAAGTGATTTTTTTTTTTTTTTTTTTTTTGGAGGGTTTTTGTTTGTTTTGTTTTTTGTTTTTGGGGGGTTTTTTTTATTAGTATGAAACACAAAATTAATCAGCCTTTGTAAGGTCCGGGACAAAGCTGAACGAAATAGCCACTGAGGAGGATATATATATATATATGATCAAGACGAGATAGATAGATAGATAGATAGATAGATAGATAGATAGATAGATAGATAAATAAACAGAATTAGATAGATAGATAGATAGATAAACAGAATTAGATAGATAGATAGATAGATAGATAGATAGATAGATAGATAGAACATAACATACTGAGATAGGTATATAAATAGATATTTATTCATTCAGGTATGAATAAAAACATATCTGTAATATATATATATATATATATATATATATATATATATATATATATATATATATAATAGTAATACTCATTTGGAAAAACCTCAGATAGCTCAACATAGCTCAAATTAGATATGACTAAAACGTAGAGTGCTCAATACGGTAAGTAGAGAGGGAATAACTAAAGTTAAACCATAAAGAGCCAGGAAAACCTACCTAGATTTCACCTAAACGGATCTTCAAGGTAAGCTAGCCAGGTTACCCTGAAGATCCGTTTAGGTGAAACCTAGGTAGGTTTTCCTGGCTCTTTAGGATTTATTTTATTTATATATATATACATATAGTGATTTTCCAGGCGTAGCTTAGATGTGGCACAAGGCCGAAATTAGGGAGCACCCAGTGAGGATCGAACTCACTACTCAATCGTAACAAGCTTGCTAACCATTACACCGCCTCGAGGGGCCCAATATATATATATATATATATATATATATATATATATATATATATATATATATATATATATATATTAATCCGTCGGTATAATCCTAGCGAGTCCTATTAACACAATATACAATTTGTGATCTTAAATGTTAAAACTGACTCACAAAGAGCGCTCAATGTTTATTTTCATTAAACAGAGCAAAATATTTACATTTGGAATTGAGATACCATTAGTTAATGACCAATTTCACCTGAGAATTTTAAAACTTAAGATTCGCAGGATTGTCCAAATAGTGTAACCGAATTTCCATCCCAAAATATGTTTAATATCTAAAGAACCACTAAACTAATTGAGTTTCTTTTTTCAAGTTTTCCAGATAAGACGTTTAGCCATCTTTGACACGATTTGACGTAAGAATCATTGAAAAACTCTTAGACTTAGAAATCGTTTTTTGTGTCAGACATACTGTCTTCCCATCTGAGCAATGCTGAGAGAAAAAAGAACATTCAGGCCTTTAGGAATGGTTCATACTCTGGCTTCCATCTTCAAAGTTCATCCAAGAACCATTAGAGGGGACAGTAGAAAAGAAAACTAGATCAGGAACTCACAGAGATCATCATTTCAACTTAGAGCTAAAGAGATCAATTAGAAAAGATCCAACTCAATCCATAAGTCGTTTGGCACGTGAGAGAGGAGTTTCAGCTATGACAGTCCAAAGAGCAGTGAAAAAAGAATTTAAAATAAAATCGTACGTGAAATCCTTGAGGTACCTTTTTACTCGAGGACACAGAGTAAGAAGGTTAGAGAAGGCAAAGATCAAACTGAATAAGTTGAAAATGATCCTGGAATGGATAGCGGCTTGGATTGAGGAATCGGAGAGCCGAGTTCGAATTCCTGTCGAATCCATTACATTCACTTACGTGCTAATACACTTGGGATAGGTGTGAATCCTCTTCTTCTCCATCCACCTATGGGTAAATAGCAGGACTGAGTTCTATAGACTTGGATGGCAACTGATCTAGGAGAAGGACAACTCTGAATTCAAAACCTGCGGAATGTCGTTTGGGGACCTTGTGGCACGTAGTGTACCTGGTCTCTGTATTCGGGCCCTCAAAAAGTATGGATGGTCCTGCACGAAACCTTCACCACTATAATCAAATCTCATGTACTGTTGTCGGGCTGTCGGTTTCCTGAGAACTGATCTGCTTGACCCTCATACGACGAATTCGACGGAAGAGTCGAGTATACTGAGGAATTTTTTTATCGTCCAATATATATATATATATATATTGGACGATAAAAAAATATTAAAAAATTAAAATCTTTAGACACACTGGATTGTAGATTAATAGTCTTTCGTTTTTTTATTATTATTTCATTTACATTCCTCGACTAGTTTCGACCAAAATGGCCTATATATATATATTTGAACTTTATTTTTGTCCTTCATCAGCTTCTGATCGTGAGTTATGATTTATTAATGATGATCATGTCATTTTCGTTATGATTGATTTCATCACGATTCTTCTAGTAAGCTTAGAGAGCAATTATACATTCTTATTGCTCAAAGTAGAGTTGAATAATGTTTTCAGAACCTCGGAGAATTCCAGTAAGATATCTTTAATCATTTCTAAGATACAACGATTTAGAACTTAATCTAACAAATGCTAATTTTGCTCTTACACGATTGGGACAATTTTTCTCTAGTTGTAGATGTAGTTTATCGTCATACCCAGGACTAAAATCTGAGGAGAGAGGACAGGGCGCTACGTATGTGCTAATTAAGAAACAAGAAGAATTATATGATAATTTAATCTAGTTTCTTTACTGCGGTATCTTATAAAACCGGGACATTCATCTAATAAATAAAAAAACGTTTTGAGTTCATTCTGTGATTACTTTAAAAATGGGACGAATATGTCGGAGGCTCCTTAAAAGAAGAAAGAGGAAAACCTTCCGTAAAAGAAATCATGGAAGGACCAAAAATAGAGAACTCATTAGAGAAACTAAAAATTGTGGGCTATGGTTTTAAAATGACACACCTTTCTTTCTTACAGTGGCGAAGCAAACATAAATCAGACTGTCACAAATTCAAAGGGTCATGTGTCCAAATTGTCGCTAATCTATTTTCCTTGTAGTCGGTTTGCTTGGGGCATTTATCTACGCGGACACGTCGCAATGTAACACAAGGTCGAAATTTTAATGTGAGCTTTCGGCAAAAACCGTAGAAAAATTACTCAGGGGCCGGATAATGAGCCACCCGAATGAGAGGTACTGCCTTGTGGGAAGGCCGCCTGGGGGTTAAGACTACATCATTTTCAACATCCCCGACAAAAACTGACTCACACGTGCAAACGGCTTGCTTGTATCCCTCTTCTTTACTGACACTTGTTATATATGCGTTCGAAGACGGGTACGCTGTACCGAATGAAGCACATCCATAAACCCTTTAGACAGTAAATCCTAGTTACTCCAGCAAGCCTTTAGCCAGTACATCCGGATTATTCCATCAAACCCGTACAAAGCATATCCGATTTATCCATCAACCCTATAACCAATAAATCCGGGTTCTTCCATCAGCCCTGTAGCCGGTACATCCGGGTTCTTCCATCAACCCCATAGGCATTGCATCCAATTTATTCCATCAACCCTATAACCAGCACATACTTGTTATTCCATCAATCCCATAGGCATCGCATCCGGGTAATTCCATCAAACCCGTTCGATGTATATAAGGCTTAATCCATCAATCACATAGGCATCGCATCCGGGTTATTCCATCAAAACTGTAGCCCGTACATCCGGGTTGTTCCATCAATCCCGTAGGCATCGCATCCGGGTTATTTCATCAACCCCTTACGCAGTACATAAGGCTTATTCCATCAATCCCATAGGCATTGCATACGGGTTATTCAATAAATCCTGTACCCAGTACGTTCTGGTTATTCCATCAATACAAAAGACATCGCATCCGGGTAATTTCATCAACCGTTTACCCAGTACATCCTAGTTATTCCATCAATCCCATAGGCATCGCATCCGGGTTATTCCATCAACACGTTTGCCAAGTATATAAGGCTTATTCTGTCAATCACATAGGCATCGCATCCGGGTTATTTCAGCAAACCTGTAGCCTCTGCATCCTGGTTATTCCATCAATCACACAGGCATTGTATCCGGGTTATACCATCAACCCCTTACGCAGTACGTAAGGCTTGTTCCATCAACCACATAGGCATCGCATCCGGGTTATTCCAGCAAAACTGTAGCCAATATATCCTAGTTATTCCATCAATCACATAGGCATCGCATCCGGGTTATTCCATTGACCCCGTACGCTGTACATAAGGCTTATTCCATCAATCACATAGGCATCGCATCCGGGTTATTCCATTGACCCCGTGCGCTGTACATAACGCTTATTCCATCAATCACATAGGCATCGCATCCGAGTTATTCCATCGACCCCGTACGCTATACATAAGGCTTATTCAATCAATCCCATAGGCATCGCATCCGGGTTATTCCATCGACCCCGTACGCTGTATATAAGAATTATTCCATCAATCACACAGGCATCGCATCCGGGTTATTCCATTGACCCCGTACGCTGTACATAAGGCTTATTCCATCAATCACATACGCATCGCATCCGGGTTATTCCATCGACCCCGTACGCTGTCCATAAGGCTTATTCCATCAATCACATAGGCATCGCATCCGGGTTATTCCATCCAACCCGTACGCTGTACATAAGGCTTATTCCATCAATCATATAGGCATCTCATCCGGGTTACTCCATCGACTCCGTACGCTGTACATAATGCTTATTGCATCAATCACATAGGCCTCGCATCCGGGTTATTCCATCCAACCCGTACGCTGTACATAAGGCTTATTCCATCAATCACATAGGCATCTCATCGGGGTTACTCCATCGACTCCGTACGCTGTCCATAATGCTTATTGCATCAATCACATAGGCCTCGCTTCCGGGTTATTCCATCGACCCCTTACGCAGTACATAAGGCTTATTCCATCACCTCAGCTTCTCGTCTTCAGTTTCTTTCCCATCGCCGCAACGTAGCTTCCCTGTACATTTTATAGAAATACTTTCATGCAACTTGTTCTGGTGAGTATAGAAATTGTCCAAATGATTCCTCGTTCCAACTGTTTTCGTTTAATTTATTAGACATTTTGAAGAATTTTGGTCGTTTGGACTTGCTGTCGCTTCGTCTTAATACAAGTTTTTTTGCTTCATAACGCACTGTCTCTTCCTTTGTGCCTTTTCTATAAATACTTTCATGGTAATTGTTCTGGTGAATTATCACTTAAGGTACCTACAGTTTATAAGTTTAAGCGCATGCAAGATTGGCGGTTTATGGCCGAGTGGTTAGAACATTCGCTTTCTGACCATGAAACCCGGGTTCGAATCTCATCAAGATTTTTTGGTCTGGAGTAAACGATTCCAGCTTATTGCACTTTTGGAAATTGCCTGAAAACCATACCACGGGT